GTCTTATATTCCTGCCAGGGAGTTATATATTGTGGCCATTAGTTAATACATTAGTTTGTTTTCATCAGTGTTTGCTTTGACCTCTCTAAAACTCAAAGTTGCCTTTCTGGCTGCTAAAGCTATCCTGGGGAATCCTTCTAAGGGTCAAGACAGCATAAACAAAAAGGGATCCTGGTCAAAAGGCCTGTGGAAAAAGTAATTCAGGAGTCCAAAAGGCAGCTATTACAGGGTAGGATCACCACATGTGTAGATAGGAGCCACGTTGGCCGGATAATCTCCGCCACTCATCTGAAGGAGTTTTTCCCGCGTTCGTGTAACTGCACTGTGGTGGTATGCCACCTAAACAGAATTTTATACATTTGCTCTTGAGAATTTACATAAATCAATATTTTGTCTGCTGTCTCCCAGATGTCTCCCCACTCATGATGTGTATATATCCACTAACATCTTGCTCCCTTTGCAATATGTACCTAATGGATGTGTAATGCTAAACGAGTGGAACACAACTGCAGAACTTCAATTACTTCGATTATAATTTTATAATTTTATTGAATTGCAAACTTTGGTTACTGTAGCTTTAAACTCTTATGACAGGTTATTAGTTGCAGGAAGAAAATAAGCCACTGAAGTTTTGTATTAAGTCTACAATTCCAATTAAGGATAGTGCAGAGTTTGCATGCAGAATTTAGAGTTGAATTAAATGCAGCAGAAATAGCTTCCAAAGTTTGTATGCAGATTTAGTGTTGAATTAAATGCAGCAGAAATAGCTTCCAGAGTTTGTATGCAGATTTAGTATTAATTGCAGAGGAAATAGTTTCAAGAGTGTTTAACAATGGTTAGCTTATAATTGCAACTGAGAAGTACTTAGCTTAATAGTAGTAGTTCCAGAGAACTGGGGAGATCAATTTAAGCAGTCTTTTAGGAGAGAGAGTAGAAGTCCATTAAACAGTCCGGGTCGAGGAGTGGAGAAGGCGGGTAGTCGTTCACAAAGCGGGTTCGGTACACGGAAAAGTTTATAATGTAATCGGGTAGCCGGTCAGAGATACACAGCAAACTTGTTCAATAATCCAGCGCTTTGAATCTGGCGCGGTCTTCCTATGTAGCGTGGGAAGACCGCATCAGAGAAGGGGCGGGGCAAAGCGCCGTCAACCCGGAAGTGGCTTAATTCGGCGAAACCCGGCAGGTCTAACCTGACAGGATGACCAAACTGATAAATGCGAGCATATGTATTGT